AAACTACCACAGACAATGAGGATCTTGAGGTTCATGTGATTCTGAATTCTCTGAAACCCAAGAACAGACTAAATACAACCTTACGTCCATCTGGCACAGGATTTCCTTGAAGATTGAGCTTCCAGGGGCTGGAGAGATGGCTCAATTGTTAAGAGCATTGCCTGCTCTTCCAAAGGTCCTGAGTTCAATTCCCGGCAACCACATGGTGGCTCACAACCATCTGTAATGGGGTCTGGTGCCCTCTTCTGGCCAGCAGACATACAGGAAGAATATTGTATACATAATAAATAAATAAATATAAAAATATTAAAACTCACAAAATATCATCCTTTAAAAAAAAAAAAAAAAGATTGAGCTTCCAAACATACACCTCGGCTAACAAAAGACTCGCTTTCAACAATGTGTCACTTTTCCTACTGATCTACAAGCCCAAGCTGCCTACAGTCTCCAAAGGACAATTTCAACTCATTCAGGTCAAGCTTTGAAGATGCCATGAGGAGATCGCAACCTGTGGGTCGCATAGCAGATATCCTGTATAGCAGATATTTACAATTCCTAACAGTAGCAAATTACAGTTATGAATTAGCAACAAAAATAATTTTATGGTTGGAGGTCACCACAACATGAGGAACTTAGTGAAGGGTCACTAAGGGGTTGAGAACCACTGACCTAGAGGAAGACCCGGGACCGAGAGGGAATTCAGTTATCAAACTGTCTGAACACACGCAAAACTACTAGACACTATTTGTTTTCCAGGAAAATATAAGGTGTGATGCTAACACATTTGCTAAATACTTTATGTGCCATGCACTGATTGAGGCAAAGGCACTTAACAAGGCCCTGACCTCACTGTACTGTTCTAGGACCCGGACAACTGAAGGTGACCAATCACCTCAGGTGCTACAAAGGGAATCCAGCAGGTCCAAGTGGCACAGCTGCTGGGCAGGAGGCAGGGGCTACTTCAGAAGAGCAACTGAGAGGGCCCTTAAAGGAGGCAACCTTGCTGAGGTGCTAAGCTTGCAGGTAGGGCCAAGGTCATTCATGGGCCGAAGAGGAGGAGCTTACAGGCTGAAGCAGGCAAATATCCTAACAGAGAAAACGGGAAGGAGTCAATGTGGAAGAAACAGCTCAGGACAGAAGGGGAACACAAGGTGACAGACAGCACAGGGCTTCATAGGAATTTCAACTCAAAAGTTTACGTTAATAATCTGTGCATGGCTGAACAGGTCCCGAGCAAGAATCGCACGGTACTGAATGTATGTGTCCGTGCTAATCCGAAGTGACAGTGGCTGGTCAGGCGGAAACCACGTGACGGTGGTAAGAAACGGCACACTTACTCTCATGAGCAGATGTGCAACGTTACTTATCACGCTAAGCAAATTCCCTTTCAGAAACACGGAAGGCGCCACTGACTCTCCTGATCCTGCACAGCAGCGTTCTGACCGTCCTCAGACTTGCCTTTGAACAATGGAAGTCATCTTGCTTTAGGCAATGCAGGACATATTTAGTCTTTCCATCCACTTCCACACGGCTCCTGACCAAGCACCCCTTTTCCTAGAGTGAAGGATTAAGAAACAACCGTGCTTTTGTGGACACCGTACCCTGAGAAAATTCATAAGAGCAGAGACCCTCGAATAATCCGCGGGACAAAGGCTATGAAATGTCAAATGTGAAAGATGCTCTGACCACAGATAAGATGGACAGGGGCCCGAGAGATGGTTCGGTAGAAAAGTGCACTGGCTGCGCTTCCAAAGGACCCAGATCTGATTCCCAGCACCCACAAGGCAGCTCACAACCATCTCTGAGTCCTGTCTCAGCACATCTGACCCCTTTTGGCCTCTGCAGGTACCAGGACACACACATGGCTGTACACATATACACACATATGGGCAAAGCACCCATACACATTTTTTTAAAAAAAAAAAAAACACGGTGCATGCCTGTAATCCCAAGTCTTGGGAAGCAGGGGGATCAGGATTCAGGTACACCCTCAGCCTCACAGCGAACAAGTCCTCCTGGACTATGCTGGACAGTGTGGTCAGCTTGACACAAACTAGTCATCTGAGAGGAGAGAACTTCAGCTAAGAAAATGCCTCCATAAGATCAGGCTGCACACAGAGCATTTTCCTAATTAGTGACCGATGGGGAAGAGCCCAGTCATTGTGGGTGGGGCCTTCCCTGGGCTGGTGGTCCTGGGTTCTGTAAGAAAGCAGGCTGAGCAAGCCATGGGCAGCAAGCCAGTAAGCAGCACCCCTCCAGGGTCTCTGCACCAGCTTTCTCCTCCAGGATCCTGCCCTGTTTGAGTTCCTACCTTGGCTCCCCTTTATGGACTGTGTCTATGGGTATGTGAGTCAAACAAACCCCGTCCTCCCCAAGCTGTTTATTGTCACAGTGTTTCATCCCAGCAAATAGTGTCCTTAAGTAGGACATGGATTGTCTTGAAAAAAAAATAAAAGAAAAAAATTCACAATAGATGAAAACCTTATGATATCAAACTGTGGTCTGAGTCAGCGTGGGTGTGCTGGTGTGAGCCAGGGGTGCGTGTGTATGGGGGTCCTAACTGCTTACTTTGCCAACGATTACAAAAACTGAAACACAATTCCTCTCTATGGCAAAGACACTTTACATGAAGTTTTACACGTAAATTAAGGAATAAGGGTGACCTCCCCACTGACAACGTTCCAGAATGCCACTGAAGACTCAGATCACAGCGTGAAGTGCCTCCGTGGGTGTGAGTACCAGATGACAACGTGGCAAGGCAGGGCTACCACAGTGTTCTAGCAAAGCAAATAAGACTGCTGTCCCTCTGGGCTTCTGTGATGTTAGAAACACAAATATAAGACACCTCACACCTTGCCTGGTACCAAGGAGTTTCTCGAACACCATTCCTGCCTCGGCTCGCCACCTTATCCTAGCTGACACTCAGTGTCAAGACTCTGAAAGAGGCTGCGAGAAAAGTCAGAATTCTCTCAAGTGCCAGGGCTGCAGCTTTGAAACAAGCAAATACAAACACCGTCGCAGGACTCAGGGAGCTGAACTCAGGTTGTTGACGGCCCAAGGACTAGAGGCTGCAGGTTCAGCTTGTCCCCTCCATCTGTTCTGGTTTCTCAGGCCAGCCTATATATTTCTATTTAAAAAAACAAAAACCTAGGCTAGGTGGTAGTGGCGTATGTCTTTAATCCCACCACTCAGGTCTACAGAGTGAGTTCCAGGACAGGCTCCAAAGCTACAGAGAAACCCTGCCTCACAAAACAAAACAAAAAGAAACTAGGGCCAGCGAGATGATTTATGGAGGACAAGGAAATGCGCTGCCAAGCCTGAGAACTTGAGTTCAGTTCCCAAGACCCAGATGGAGAAGGAGCAAGGTGACGTCCTCTACCTCCACGTTCAGGTCACGGTGGCATGCGCACACCCCACACCCCCAAACACAGAATCTGCTGAGAGAAAGAAGCAAACAGAAAAGAAAGTTATAGAGGGCAAATAATACCCCGATTACCTCAACTACACACGGCCAACGGCTGTGCTAAGAAAAGCTCACTGAACTGAGAGCACCTTATAGCGACGCAGGGAATTTGGTTTTCAACAGTAGTTTTTTTAAGCTTTGAAATCCCAGGACGCGTGAAGCAGAAGCCATATCTCTGTGAGTTCAAGGCTAGCCAGAGCCACGTAGTGAGAGTCTGTCTCAAAAAAAAAAAAAAAAAAACCCTCCCCCACAAAAAACAAAAATTCCCGAAAAACAAACAAGCAAAGAAAAAGGAATTAGGAGAAGAAAGCTCTGGGAGCAGAAGGCTGTGAGACAGCTGGAGTGATAGCAAAACCTAACATCTAAAAGGGAAATTAAATCGAGACTTTCAATTCAGGAAATGGGGGTTAGCTCAAACCGAGAGCACTGGCTCAGCAAGCATGAGGCTTTGGGCTCCATCCCCAAAACCAAGAAGAGATTCGGCATCCTCGTGGCTCAGTGGAAACTACAAAGCAACGAGACAACGGTATCTACGAGGAAGAAGAGAGAGGCTGTGGAACTGAGTGGCCACGCCGACACCTTGAACACCAGGTAGCAGAGACGGTCCACGGAATACAAGGCACACATTACTTCATGGTTCCGGTTCCGAAACCTATGGCCCTGCTTACCATCATCACATGTGACACACGGAAAGCCAAAACGTTGGCAGCCACTCTCAGCTGATTTCACAACTCACAGACCGGCTGGGACCAGCAACTTGAAGGGCACTGAGCCTAGGGTTGTTACCACAGAGGAAAGGGCAGGACCCTCCGGCTTCGAGAGTTTTCGCAGCTTCAGCCATCAGCTGAGAGCCAAAGGGGAACTGAAGAGAGAAGGGAAAGACTTTTTTTTCTTTAAATGAGAGCACTGCTGACCCAGGAAGAACGGTGGAGGTTTCCTCTTAATCCACCTCCTACTTCAGAGCCTTGGGCAAGACCCTGGAAGGGGGGGGGGGGGGCCGGCAGTTGGTGTGGATGTTCCCTGAGGTCAAATTCCAGAACCTCGAAAGAGCAGAGGTGACTCTGGGAAGGAAATGAAGTTGCATGACAACACCCATTAGCTATAAAGTGGAGCCCTGACAGAAATGCCTCAGTCAGGTATTCAATTAGGCTGATTTTTTTTTTCTTGATGCTTCTTAAGCAAAACACACTCTATCAACAGCTCCACTGCCCGCCAATCACTCTGGCTCCTAGCATCACTTATAGTCAACACAGAAGCACAAATGCCGACGTCCCAGCTCCCTCGTGAAGGGGGCTGACGAGGCCTCGGATCTCCCTGATCCATCTCAGGCCTCCACAGGTTTGTCCTGAGCGGTGAGTGGACACTGCAGCAGGAAGGTCCGGGACTAGAGAGAGCGTGTGCATGGTGCGAGCGTGCGGGTGAGCCCAGGAGAGGAATCCAAGTCTTTCGGTCCGGCCGAGCACACCCATCCACGGCCAAGGCACCCAGCAATGGGGGGATACGGGGGAGTGGGGGAAGGGCGTGGAGAGGCGTTACCATGCCGCCGAGCTCCGCGTCTTGGTCGTCGGTGAGCAGCAGCAGCACGTTGGGCCTGCGAGCCGCCCCGACGAGCCCCAGGCAGGAGCCCAGCAGCGACAGCAGCAGCAGCACCGTGGGCGAGCGGCCCGGCCGGGGCCAGGCTGCGG